CACCATCATCACCACCATCATCATCATCAGTCAAATCGTCCCGCTGAGCCGGGTGGAGCGCAGCGGGACCGAACCACCTCCACGGCTGCCAGCAAGCCCTCGCCCCCCTCTCCATGGGTGCGTTTTCTGTGTGATCAGGTCTGTGGGGATAAAGAAGAAAGAAAAACCCTTTCACTCATCCTTGGTCCCGAATTTAAAACACGCCAGCACCGAGGAGCGGGGGGAGCCTGTGTCCTGTATGACTTCCTCCTCTTAAACGAATGTTTCCACCACGCATGGGTAAGAAAACCAGGTTCGCCGTGCGGGGTGCTTCCATACAGGTCTCCCGCGACCAGCGAGAAGGACGGAGCCCCGTGACGGGGGAGGCCCCGCGCGGCCCCCAGCGCCCGTCCCGCGCCCGCCACCGGCGGAGAGCGTTTTTATAATCTTGTGTTGTAAAAGAACATATTTAAGAAGCATCATCATCGTCATCATCATCATCATCATCATCATCTTGGTCCAGGGCTCCTGCTCTCTCAAGATTCCTGCCATTTGGAAGCCTTGTATGAGAAAGGTGTTAATAAGATTCTATCACAGAGGTTTTTTTTTTTCTACAAAATATAAATACACACAAAAAAAGATTTAATTCCAAAGTAATAAAACTTTTCTTGAAACAAAAATAATAATAAATGTTTGCTTACTATTTGACTAAATAAAATTTACTTACATTTCTTTAAGGTATTTTAATTTTTTAATGTCTCTGTGGAGTATTTGTATGATACCATAATGTATATTTGTGTAGAATCAAATTATATAAACAGTACCAATATCATTATAGAAAAAAATGACATTTTAATGTATATTGTTCTAACCAACCATATATTGTGACTCATTTTGAAGTTCATATAGCGATATTGATAAATTGTGGAATTGTCTTATTAATGTTTTTTTATTAACCAATATTATTTTAAACCTGAGATGATCACATCAGTTGGTGAGTTTTGAAGACTGACTAAATTTTATTTCAAACTGAGGAATATATATGGTTTTAGTTCAGTGTTGAGGAATTTTAATACAATATTAAATTACTTGAACTGAACGGTTCCTTGTACATATTTTGCCTATTCACTGTTGATATGTATGTAGAGTAAATGGAGAGTAACACTAAAATATGGAACCAAAAGGATATTGTATAGGAGCAAAGTAAATGGTAGCTCTGCTGAAACAGAAGCATATGTGTAAATAAGCTTGGGCTTCCAGTTATAAATTTTGTAATTTTTGTCATTATTTATATCCTATAAAAAGCACACAAAATAAAAGAGAGAAGTTGTACAGCTGCCGCAGCATGGCTTGGTTCTGTGAGCCCTCCCCTGCCCCCTTCCCGGCCCGGCCTCTTTTCTTCCCCAGAGCAGAGCTGAAGGTCTAAATGTGGAGAAAATGCACTCATTTCCAACCTCAGGCAAACTGAGGAAGAAACACTGGTCTTTAATGCTTGAATTTCAGCTCAAAGCCTCCACTCTTTGTTTAATTACTAGAGTGATTTCTAAGGAGGAACTGACAAAACTCAGAACGGGAGAAAAGCACCCTCAAACTAGATCATTCCTGTGGTATCACGTAGGTGACATGCTTGGAACATCATTGGTCTTTTCCATTTCCCTGCAACACAGGTGCTGGTTC